AGAGTAGATTTAAGGTATAAGATTACATTGATAATGTAAAATATGGTATAAGGCCTATCTACTTCATCCCAATCACCTTATTTTCAGGTAAAAATCATATACTGGCACAAATACGGCACAGAACTGAACCTATAAAGTGGCACTGTCCCTTAGAAAATTGTAAAATCATAAAAAATCGAATTAAAAAATTACTGTACTATGTACACATAATGTAATCACCTTAAAGATGAAACATATCGTAAACCACAATAGTTATTATAATATAACAATATTAAATACAATAAACAATAAAATTGCTAAAAGCAAATGTAAGAATTCTCATACTCAAATGGCTGTAAATGTTTGAGTATTGAGTTTTAGTATGTGTGTGTCATGGTAAATGTTTTTTCCGATTGTCGAAGTGACAGTGCATCTTTGAATTTTTGAGATGATATTTTCCCTATTTGGCATCTTAGGATAATACGTCAGGAGAAAACCAAGCCAGCACAAGCATGTAACAGATTTAATGGACCTTTCAAAGAAGTGTAACCCAGACCAGAACATTATGGTCGATAAACTAGAGCGTACAAAGGAATATCGTTTAAAATATATTGCTGAGCACTCTGTGAAAGACGTGTTGGAGAAATATCCTTTTCTTAAACTAGAAAATGAGGTAATAATTAAATATCCATATCAATTATGTAGCATGTCAATAATTATTGAGACAAATAATTCCATAAAAAGGAATGTAAGTGGCCTATAGTTATTGAGAATATAATGCTAGGGGATTACACTTTTCCCATCTACTATTAAAGCTTTGTTTCACTTAAAAAGAAGCAGAACTGGCATTATTCATGAAGGAAATGCTTTTTCAGAACTTCTTCCTCATGGAAATACCAGTACCATTTTAAAATGACAATATGGTGAATTATTTCATGGAGAGAATAAAAAAATTATATATAAAAAGCCAATTTTTTTTTTTTAAGGTAGAGGTTTATTTTATACTAGAAAAACTGTAACATATCCAGTGAATAGATGATGCATTATATTTGTCCTCTAATCATTAGTTGTAATAACTGACCATAGAAGTGTTTGTCATATTAGTTAAGTAATACGTTTTTATCCGAATAAACATTTGAAGTGTTTAATGCTGCTTTGTTTGTGCTTTTATTTTGACACAGGTGAAAATTAGCATTAATAGAATAGTGTAATGCAGTGTAATGAGTATGTAGGCC